GAGAGTCGTCCCTATCTCGGAGGTCAAATAATACACTAAAGTATTAGCCTGGGGTTGAAACAAGTGTCCTTTGTAGAGAGGTCGTCCCTATCTCGGAGGTCAAATAATACACTAAAGTATTAGCATGGGGTTGAAACAGGTGTCCCTTGTAGAGAGGTCATCCCTATCTCGGAGGGTCCCTTATCAGAGGTTCCACTGTACACATCTGAGGGTCCTAGTGCCGTAGTGTTCGAATTACAGTCACCAACTCGGCCTAAGGCTTCCAAAAATTCCTACTTGGCAAGTAAAGCAAACCTACGATGTCTCAATTGCCCACGCTTCTGTTGTACAGCATGTTCAAGTGCTCTTTGCCACATGTATATAAAGGAGGGTTTTCTAATGTCACACAAATACTATGCATTGTGGTTTGTACCCAAAAAAACTTTAAGATCTACATAATGGTATCTAGCACTACGCAATATAGTGAAGGTTAATGAAGTTAATCGACATGCATTCTTCCTCTCCCCCCTCCCTCCCCCTCTCTCTCCCTCCCCTCTCCCTCTCTCCCTCCCCTCTCCCTCCCTCCCCCTCCCTCGCTCCTCCAGACAAGTCCACATCTCCCATGCCACCAAGGGGTTCCTCGGGGACAATGAGTTTCAACTGACCGAGGGCAACGGAAGCAGTCGCGACAACTTCCTGAAGGAGCGCTGTGTGGTGACGTATCTCATACAGCAGGAGTCACAGAGCCATCTGGAGGCCGAGAACGACGAAATAAAGAGCGGTGAGCACTGCTACGGTCCACCATAATTGACGAATGAAGCGAGCGTACACTAGTAAAGAGGCTGAAACACTATCCCATAGTATACGCCTTTTGCTGTTTAGGTATAATTATTACTATGTAGGCACATCCTTTTTAGGCATAATGTGCCGGTGGTGTTTGTATACCATGTCACTGTACTGCTCTTGTTTCACAAAAAACATGTACATTCCATGTAACATATGTTTGTGTAAACGAGCGTTTACTTGTAAATATAGTCAGTTGTAAAAACATGTTTACTTGTACTTTCTACATGGTAACTTTCAAGTTGTAAGTAACGTGTACGGAAATATGTTATCTTGTACAAAGTTGTACAGATTTTACAGAAGTACTTGTACTAAATGTACTTTGCTGTAAATTCTGTCGTTGCCACCACAGGCAATATTGACACGGCAGTGAAGACCCTACAATGGGACAAGGCCCCTGCATTCTCAGAGATCTCAGAGACATCAGCCGGAGATGAGGCAGTAAGTCAACTCTACCATACTCTGTAATTGACTTGCTTGTTTTGCCTTTCTACCTCGTTGTCACATGTGTAACCCCCGGTACCTCGCCAGTAACGCTTGCGTCGCCCCTGGCTATACCAGCTGGGGTCTTGTTCTCTTTCTTACGAGTCTCAATAGATACGATACAGCTGCCATTAGACTTGGCTAGTGCCCCACGTGGGCTCTCTATGCTAGTTATACCATTTTATTTATGGGACGTATAGAGTACGCATGCGTATATAGTGTCTCGGTCTTTACACATGCATAATTGGCAAGTTTAGCGAGCCTACGTAAGTTATCTAAAATACGCTGTTTTTCTGTGTTTGAATTTGTATATCTGGCGCTGTCACACTGGACAATGTGCATGTGCGAATATTACAGGCAGTGGTTTTGAATGTTGTGCTCTGCAGACTTGCTTGCGTTTGCCGTTTGCTGGCTAAGAGCGCATTGCAGCATTCGTACAGTATATGGTATGTACATACCGCGGTGTAGTGCAGGTGGTCTGTAACTGAGAGGGGAAACTATCGTGTTGTTGAGATTGCAGGGGTTTCTCGTTAATACCAAGATTTTGAGCATTCTGGCAGGCAATCACATACAACATTAATTTCATACATAGTGTCAATGAATTACACGATTCGTTGGTAATTATTTAAGTGCCCCTAGCATCAGTAAGAATTAGAGTACGGCAGTTTGAAATACTCAAATCTGATTGGTCAACTAGAAGAAAACTAGTCCAATTATGTGGTTTCCTCTGTAGGAACACTACAACTAGAACCATCGACGAACGCTATTGGATATGTTAACCCCCCCCATATTATTGACTTTAGAACATTTCATGTTTTGTGCATGTGGCACTCTAAACTTGCGGTTAGACGACGAGTCATGGCGACCACCCGACCTAGTAAACCTCGGGGCCGTCATCTAAGTATTACTTAGCCACTGCTCTCTGTCTGTCTCTCTCTCTCCACTGCAGACGGCGTTCGTGACGAAGTTCCTGAACCCATCGGCACTTCGTCAGAAGAACATCTCCAAGGAAGACCGACAGGCCAACGAGCAGATCAAGAAGATGGTCTACGACAAGGACAGGTCTCGATGGTAAGGGATCCACCACTCTTCCACAGTGTGTGTGTATGCAGTAATGACCATACATAGTAGAACCTCTGATTGAGGAACACCTTGAGGACATTGAAAGTGTCTTTTATTCCTCCACAACTCTTCCACTCTTCCACAGTGTGTGTGTATGCAGTAATGACCATACATACACAATAGGACCTCTGTATGCTGGGACCATGAAAAATGCCCTTTTTACAGAGTTGTCCTTTATTCAGACATTGAATGATACACAGTGAGCCCCCGCCACTCTTCCACAGTGTGTGTGTATGCAGTAATGACCATACATACACAATAGGACCTCTGTATGCTGGGACCATGAAAAATGCCGTTTTTACAGAGTTGTCCTTTATTCAGACATTGAATGATACACAGTGAGCCCCCTCCACTCTTCCACAGTGTGTGTGTATGCAGTAATGACCATACATACTCTCCGAATGAGGGACGCCTTGAGGACACTGAAAGTGTCTTTTATTCAAAGATGTCCATTATTTGGAGGCCCAGTGGAACCTCAGATAAGGGACCCTCCGAGATAGGGACGACCTCTCCACAAAGGACACTTGTTTCAACCCCATGCTAATACTTTAGTGTATTATTTGACCTCCGAGATAGGGACGACCTCTCTACAAAGGACACTTGTTTCAACCCCATGCTAATACTTTAGTGTATTATTTGACCTCCGAGATAGGGACGACCTCTCTACAAAGGACACTTGTTTCAACCCCATGCTAATACTTTAGTGTATTATTTGACCTCCGAGATAGGGACGACCTCTCTACAAAGGGACACTTGTTTCAACCCCATGCTAATACTTTAGTGTATTATTTGACCTCCGAGATAGGGACGACCTCTCTACAAAGGACACTTGTTTCAACCCCATGCTAATACTTTAGTGTATTATTTGACCTCCGAGATAGGGACGACCTCTCTACAAAGGACACTTGTTTCAACCCCATGCTAATACTTTAGTGTATTATTTGACCTCCGAGATAGGGACGACCTCTCTACAAGGGACACTTGTTTCAACCCCATGCTAATACTTTAGTGTATTTATTTGACCTCCGAGATAGGGACGACCTCTCTACAAAGGACACTTGTTTCAACCCCATGCTAATACTTAGTGTATTATTTGACCTCCGAGATAGGGACGACCTCTCTACAAGGGACAAAATCGTTGGCCCCATAGTGTCCCTTGTTCAGATGTTCCACTGTAGTACACTATTGGGCAGAACCACAGTGTCCCTTATAGAGAGGTGTCCTTTATTCGAAGTGTCCTTTTCCACTCTATAGGAAATGTCTGAAAAGGACGCTCCGAATAAGGACACCTCTCTATAAAGTACACTGTGGTTCTCTCCCATACTAGTGTATTATAATCATACCCACTCAATAAAGGACACCTCTACAAAGGAAACTCGGTTATGCCCCATACTGTACTTCCGAATATAGGATACCTCTGAATAAAAGACGGTTTTGAAGTCCCCCAAGGTGTCCCTTATTCCAAGGTGTCCCTTATTCCGAGGTGTCCCTTATTCCAAGGTGTCCCTTATTCCGAGGTGTCCCTTATTCCAAGGTGTCCCTTATTCCAAGGTGTCCCTTATTCCGAGGTGTCCCTTATTCCGAGGTGTCCCTTATTCCGAGGTGTCCCTTATTCAGAGGTGTCCCTTATTCCGAGGTGTCCCTTATTCCAAAGTGTCCCTTATTCCAAAGTGTCCCTTATTCCAAGGTGTCCCTTATTCCGAGGTGTCCCTTATTCCGAGGTGTCCCTTATTCCAAGGTGTCCCTTATTCCAAAGTGTCCCTTATTCCAAGGTGTCCCTTATTCCGAGGTATCCCTTATTCCGAGGTGTCCCTTATTCCGAGGTGTCCCTTATTCCGAGGTGTCCCTTATTCAGAGGTGTCCCTTATTCCAAGCCTTATTCCAAGGGTTCACCGTATACTGTTACATAAGAAGGTATGGAGAGAGTGAGAGAGAAATGAAGAGGAAAAGAAGGAGCTAGGGAGAGAGAAGTATTCTGTAGCAGAGAAACACGCTGAAACACTATGATTCTCTCCTTTGACAGGTACTTCCTGAGAGTCCCGCAGGATCTCAACAGACTGACACTGCACTTCAGGAAGAGGAAGGAGATAACGGACGAGGAGGAGGGGGAGGAGGAGGGGGAAAGTTGCGGACAAGTCAAGGGATCTTCGGCGCAGGACTACGGGATGGGAAAGACAAAGTACTGGGGGATAAACCTCAAGGAAGAGAGGGCCTACTCGCAGGAGCCGGACAAGGCATTCAAGTTCTATCTGGCCACTCTGCTCATACTGTTTGTGATTGTCTACATAGTGCAGGCCATCATGGTCCCCAAGTGAGTGTTAAACATGCAACGATAAGTAAATTAGTGATAGATGAATCAGGCAAGTGAGCAGGTTTGTTCATGGTCCCCAAGTGAGTGTTAAACATGCAACGATAAGTAAATTAGTGATAGATGAATCAGGCAAGTGGGCAGGTTTGGTTCATGGTCCCCAAGTGAGTGTTAAACATGCAACGATAAGTAAATTAGTGATAGATGAATCAGGCAAGTGGGCAGGTTTGGTTCATGGTCCCCAAGTGAGTGTTAAACATGCAACGATAAGTAAATTACTGATAGACGAATCAGGCAAGTGGGCAGGTTTTGTTCGCTTGCCAATTATAAGGGAAATCTGGGGGAAAATCAGAGCAGTCTGTTGTAGCGTGATATGCTAGTTTGAGGAACCAAGTGCTCCTTCCTACTTTCCTTTTCAGCGGTTTCACTGTAAGCCACTGTCTAGTTCTGTAATGCACTAGGAATGCACACGCGCATATTTTGCCTCGCGCCTGCCAGCCAATGCGTAAACACTCGGACTGAGGCCGCTCGTGCGCGCGCTCTACTGACTGCACGTGAAGCCAGACTTCCTACGAATCTGCGCGCACGGCGGAAGCTATACTTCCTACGAATGACGGAAGTGACATTCCTAAGTGTGACTAATTGGCATTCTTAAGCGTGACGACACGTACGTACGCATATCGCGAGAATACAACCCGGAGTAGTTGCCTCACGCTAACGCGCTCAGCAATAAAAGGTGTCCAACAATAGCTGCTCTGCTGTATTCTACACACCGCTATACCTTACACCACCCTATGTCATATTTCTGTGTATAATACTCTATGTACGTACATCTCATAATGTACTGTGCTACATATACTACTGCAGGTCCTACGTGATGCTGGGTACATTCCTGGCAGGCTTCATCTACTACGCCGTCTTCCTCGTCCTCTACTCCCTGCACGTTTTCAGAGTCAGTCGGACACCTTACAATCACCTACTGCCTGCTAACTGATACGTACTACTGTTACATGACTTCTTGCATTATGTATGTTGCAGTGCCCAGACAGGACAGCATGAGCCCTGTAAGGGCTCATGCTGTCCTGTATGGGTACTGCAACAGATTTGTTGGATATCCCTAGGCAAACGACATGTATGAACCCTGCTTGCACATGTACGATTGTATAGGCTGATAAAAAATCCCCCAGTACCTAGCTTCATACATGTCGGTTACCTAGGGATAACCAACAAGTGTTGTGTACTGTCAGTGTGTGCCGTGCGTTCACGTGTTTACAGTATAACATAAAGGTTGAAAACTGTGGCTTTAGGGCAAATGGCGAATGTTTTGTCGTGACAATGATACTAGCCACTGAATCTAAACTGACATTTCTTGCTCCAAAAGTTTCACGCCATTTTGTAGGCAAGCCACAGTATAGCATAAAGGTTACTTGAAGGTGAAAACAGGCATTTTTGTGGCTTTAGGGCAAATGGTGAATGTTTCATCGTGACAATGACAATGATACTAGCCACTGAATCTAAACTGACATTTCTTGCTCCAAACGTTTCACGCCATTTTGTAGGCAAGCCACAGCATGTGTACTGGCGCATGTGAAAAACTACGAGGTAGAAGCACAACAAACAAATCAACCTTTTTTCAGAAGAGCTTCCCAGAACAAACAAATCAACTACACCCAGGACAGCTCTTTTTCTCCAAGGAATAAAGAAGAGCTGCCCTAGGTGGGATTCGAACCCACAACACTCTGCAGTCTAGGCAAGCGCTCTACCAACTGAACTACCAGGGCAACTCAGCTGGTAGGGGTTCGAATACATGTATATCAGCTGATTAGCTATGTGACATAAAATGTGTGTTATGTCCCTTCTTCCCTCTCCCTTCCCTTTCCCCCCTCTCCCATTCCTACCTCCCTCTCTCCAATCCTTCTCCCCCTCTCTCCAATCCCTCTCCCCTTCTCTCCCATCCCTCTCCCTTCCCTTTCCCCCCTCTCCCTTCCCTTTCCCCCCTCTCCCATCCCTACCTCCCTCTCTCCAATCCTTCTCCCCTCTCTCCAATCCTTCTCCCCTCTCCCATCCCTCTCTCCCATCCCTCTCCCCCTCTCTCCCATCCCTCTCCCACCCTCTCTCCCATCCCTCTCCCATCCCTCTCTCCCATCCCTCTCCCCTCTCCTCCCATCCCTCTCTCCCATCCCTCTCCCCCTCTCTCCCATCCCTCTCCCCCCCTCTCCCATCTCTCTCTCCCATCCCTCTCTCCCCCTCTCTCCCCCTCTCTCCCCCTCTCTCCCCCTCTCTCCTCTCACACCCCTCTCTTGAACACGCAGCACCGAGTGAGTCTGGACACCTCCCTCCCTGTCCGTATCTCCCTATTCCTCATTCACAGCTACTTTGCTCGACTGGTGATTGCCATAATCGCGATAGCATGGATCATCGGCGGAGCTGCCATCAACATGTCTGCCTGTGACACCAGCAGTGTTATCACCTCTCAGGTACTGTACGTAAGACTTGGCCCTGGAGGACTCTAAAGCCTCTGTTGGTATTGCTTTAAAGGAACTCTATGTGTGTGTTTACCATAACTTAGTGTGGTAGTATGTACATAATGGCTCAGGTATATACTGTATATACGTAAGACTGGGTCCTGGAGGGCTCTCAAGCCTCTGTTGGTATTGCTTTAAAGGAACTCTGTGTGTGTGTGCTGTGTTTCAACACATAACTAGTGTGGTAGTATATGTACCTAAGGGCTACATTTAGTAAAGAAGGGATCCAGTGCAAGAATGCAATTATGTTTAGAGAAGCCCTTTAAACTGCCACATTCCCTTGAAGTTAGTGTGGAAACGCAGCACACACAACTATCTATTGCTCTATCTGACAATACATGGGTCCCTTGGTGCATTAGTGCGAACAGATACTGTGTAATATGGGCATTCGATCCCGAGAGCGAATATTTTACTTTCACTTTCCATCCTGGCGAATGCACACACAAGAAAACAACTGTTAGCTTATCCGGAACGTGAAATTGAGCGAAACAATTTTATGGTGAGCAGGAACGAACAAGTACAAACCTGTTAACTGCAGCACCTGAAAATGCTTTGTCTTGATGCCAATTCTTAGATGCCAATTCTCAGATCCAAATGAAATAAACCTATAGTAGTCCAGGATCAATTCTTGCTGTTGTTTAAATGTAATCCTAGGGTAAATTCTCACCATTTTTGTGTGTTCCTCTGTGTCACATCAGAACGTCACTGACCGTTGTAACTGCACCACGTGGGACGAGTGGCTGGACAGGGTCAACCATCCTTCACCTGACGACTCCTCGTGCCAATACCCACAGGTAAATATATATACCTGTATGTAATAGTTAATGTACGGAAGTCAGTGCTGTGCGCGTAATAATGGTACGAGGGGCGTGGTCGAGATAGTCATACAGCAAGAGGCGCAGCCGAGTTGCTGTATGATCTATCGAGACCACGTTCCGAGTACCATTATCACGCGCACCGCACGTGCTTCCGTACATTAAGTTATTTATTGTATGCGTGGGCGATTCAAAAGGCGGCGACCAGGAAAATCGCCGCTCAGAACGGAAGAGAGGACGAGAAGCTCGCGGAGCGCCCTTCCAGCAGCGGTTTGTGTCACCGTCTGAGTCGAACCGTCTACGAAAAGTCTGCCGAGGGCGTCATTCCCGCAAAGCGTACGCTAGTCCGCGGATATAGTACAGTTCGTGTGATATAGTACAGTTCCGCGCGATATAGTACAGTTCATTCAAAAACTGTTCTGTATGATGAATATAGTACTGGCGGCGCCTTTGATTCGCCCACGCAAAATACAATAAACATATATACTGTTGTCTGCCGTCCAACACAATGGTTGGAAGATTCAGTGTAAATCCCTTTCCCCCTCTCCCCTCTCCCCCTCTCCCCTCTATCCCTCTCCCTCTCCTCTCCCCCTCTCCCTCCCTCCCTTCTCCCCCTCTCCCTCTCCTCTCCCTCCCTCCACCCTCCCCCTCTCCCTCCCTCCACCCTCCCTCTCTCCTCAGTATTTCTACCACTCCATGTTGCTGGCTCTAATCGGCTCGGCCATCTTCATCAGACTCAACTGGATCATCAAATCTACCATTAACCTTGTCGCCATCGTCCTCTATCTGGTCGTCATTCAAGGCACCAGACCATGTCTCTTTGACAACTATGATAAGGGCGTTTATGGAATCTGTCGCAGGTACATCATACAATCTGCTCCCCATCTGTTAACACTTACGCATGAAAAGTATATTTATAGCATACTAGCCACAGAGAATAGAAAAGAAAGATAACCAGAAGTCACCCTCCACCCCCCATCCTCCATGCATGCAGACATGACAACGTGTTTACTAAATCTAGTAGTAGCTCAGCATTGAGTTAACTAAGTGCCTGCGATATCATTTGCCCGTGCTTACGCTACTAGAGCTAGAGGAACGCAAAACATTGTTTGGTGAGCGAGCCCGAGCAGGTCAATATTTCGCGCACCTCACATAGACCTTTACTCGCGGTGCGAGCAGTTGAATATTTCGCGCGTGTTTTGCGCGTATAGAATGACACATTGGCACAGACGGTCACAGTGCTAGGAGTGCAATATTTCCCGCGTTTTTTTGCGTGTATTTAGAAGCGCGTAGAACATTACGGTAAGTGTCGTATCGCCGGATAGAAAGAATAAGTGGAAAATCCGCCCGTTCGCTTCGCTCGCCATTCACCTCACTTAGAGATTTTTCCCTACATCAACAAAACTTTCATAATGATTATACAATACTTGAAGGTTTCTAAACCCAGCTAAATGACATTGCTAAGAATATTATTACCTACAAAAGTCTCATCAATTCCTCCTTTGTCGGGGTCCATTTCGAAAAGCCTGGATTCCCCTAACTCCGCCTACAGTGGCTCCTACCCCAAGCACGCCACCAACAACTCCTCCAATGATGAGTGCAATTCCGACTGGAGCAAGAATTCCGGTAGCAGTCAGTGCTATACCGGATACCACACACCCCGCCCCTGCTGCCGTAGCTATCCCGCCGGTTGTGGCACTAACAGTGGACCCGACAACACCTCCTATCAGTGGGTCAGCTTCTCCTGCATCTGGACCAACCGATGCGTTATCTTCAATCTGCTGTTGCTGTGGTTCGGCCATCCTATGCATACGGCTGCAGCTAATGAACGCTTCCTTCACTTACTGTCAGTGGCGTTGCTCATGGTTCGTCTATGGGGCATACGAGACGACCTTGGGCTGCTATAATAACTGAAAGGACTACGACGACGCGGCCTCACTAATATACCAAGTTTATAGCACACCGACCTTTCTCAATGCGCTTGTGAATGTCTGTCTCATTCTATGCAATAGCACTCACCAACCCTTCTTCATAAAAACTGTTTGTAAGATAGGTGACAATACGAAGGGGAACGGTCTCACTAGAGTAGCTGTAACAATGCCATTGCGTGGTTTACAAATGAGAAGTACAGGGTTGAATGTTGTTTGTTCAGTTTTTTTGGAGGTCGTTGTTTCGATCGATCGCATCATATCATATTCCTATCATTACTGTACAAATAATAATCTAGATATGAGTTTCTGAGTAGGCATCGAAAGCGACAAGGCTCTATAAATAGCTAATCTCCACAACAAAGCTCAACGAGAAGCGAGTAGAATGCATATAATGATGTAGAAAGAATTTTATTACCGAGCTTACGATGGTATACATGCTACAACAACAGTCTTTTGTAAGGTGAAGCAGTTGAGCGCGTATCTTATAGCGATAGTATACATGTAGATCATCCCAAAAAACTGACAACATTCAACTTGAGTATTCTATCTACGTAGGGGAGAGAATTTCCATATTGGACGCACCACTCGAGAGAGATGGTCCATTCTTCATGCACTAAGTCAGATACACGTGTTTGTAGAGAGGGTGGAGCGCAGGTGCCAGGTGGCTGGGAATCTTTTAGTAGAGACAGTGGCACAGACCTGTCTCATCAAAGATTATCGGTGACTCAGTTCTACCAGCCTCCGATCGTCTATAGCGGCTTATAGAGTTCTCATCTTCCGTCCGCCCACTGAAGAGAGTATAGTACATATGAAGGCAAGTTGGACAGAATTCATTCAGCTGCGTAGCAAGTCATGTCTCGGATTGGCATGGGTAGCCAGCAGGAGCACTAATCACGCAACAGCAGATTGAGATAACGGTATGCGAGTTCGATCCGGTCAACAGAAGACGCAGCACTTTCTTGGTAAGATAGCTGGACCACTGATACTGGCAAACGAGGTGCTTTTGGTCCATTGTCTCGAGTCGCGGACAACCGCCGGTAATTAGCAGGGCGTACGCAGGCGTGGTCGTGGGTGTGGCTGGCCAATCTGTGCACGTTGATGCACGACTGCTACCGGAACACCTCTTAGCACGGCGCGCAGATGAAATTGAACAGCTCGACATAGCACGCATTAGCGTAGGAGTGGTTGGTGGCGGTGCTTGTGGTTGAGCAGGACTAGAACGCTTGATATGTCAGGGGCAACTCAGTCCTCAGCTTTGTGTCGAGAATATGTCGATGTACCCGACACAGGAGAGAACACTAAGTGAGAGCTAACTCCAATGTATAGGTTATATAATGCTATATCTTTCAAAGCAGTGTGCATCATTGTCGTTGTGAGATCTTAAGAAACCTCTAAGAGGTTTACTGATCTGTAACCTATAATCATTAATGATAGGAGAGTCAGTTTGATATGTAGAATGTAGTGAAGGGGCCAAAACACCCAAAATCTTCTTTAACAAGTAGCGTGTGCTGGATATGGGCGAGCGTCTATAAGAAAGAGCGCATTAAACGTGAGGCACATAGGATTTACCACTTTTATATTTTCTTTCTTGAAAGGCACAGAGGACCGCACAAATGAAACGTTGACAACTATTACTGCAAGGGTTAGGACCCACTGCTGTTCGACTCGGCAGCCCCTTCTTAAATTATCAGAACTGGCAACACCACATAACACGCGGAGCAACAAAGGATTAATTGCCCACTTCACTCACAGCATCCTTCGTAAGACTCCTGAGTGCTGCGAACATCATTCTTCGTGGATTACGCGTATTAGGCGGGGCGCGCAAAAACACGCGCTTGGAACATACTACTATTCACTCAGCATCGCAACAATCCGGCTGATGTAAGGATGGTCGTACTCGTTGACCGCGCCTGAGTCATGAATATTGACATGCTCCCGGGTCAATCCTGCTCCCCAAAACACACTAACAAATGTTACTTGCGAGTACCGCGTTTAGGCTCTAGTCAGCTGTCCACGTAAGCTATGGGCGTATCATACTGCAAATTCGCAGAGCACCTCTATTGCAAGGTTATCCTCAGCTGACTAGCCTGAGCTACTTAACTGAGGATTCTCTGGCATACAACCTTGTACACATTCTGCGCACTCGCGAGGAATGTGGGGAGTGGCGAGGGTGAACTTCTGTTATCTTTTCTTTTCGCTCATCTCTTTCTCCTGTGGTAGTATATTCTCATTATTCTCTACATACACATCAAATATATCAGCGAGCGAAGAGGGTAGGTGGAAAAGACAGGAGAAGATTCAGAGGAGCGAGAGGAATCGCGGTGATGTCAAGGGCTTGGGAGTATGGATTCACATCACCACGAGCCGCGACTTATGCAGTGAACTGACTCACTAGAGTGAGTGTAGGAATACCGAGAAGAGAATGGCTATGCGTGCTTCGCAGTAAATGACCAGAACCATAGACTAGAGAGAGTCGGGATGGGCGACAAGTTTGATGTGATAAGTGATCTTGATGTAGTGCATACGAGACGAAGAGGATCGGCCGGGCGGTAGAGCCACAACCAATGGAGTGGAGAATACTGAGAGAGGAGAAGGAAGGAGGAGTGAGGGAGGGAGAGGGGAGGGTGGAGGAGGGAGACGGAGAGGAGGAGGGAAGAAAGGGAGGGAAAGAGAGGAGGAGAGGAAGAGAAAGAAAAGAGGGAGAGAGGGGAAAAGGAAAGAAGAGAGAGGGGAAGGAGGGGAAGGGATTTACACTGGAGAATACTTTTCGATAGATAATGTGATTGATGGAACGCCGCACGAAAGCGACCACGAGTCATCATACTGTCTCTAGATAAGTATTGATCATTTGTATGAGTGGAGAGTGAGGGTCAGATAGTTACTAACAGCGCTCGCATGTGTACTGTATGTGAGTGCAGTCTCATATTTCCATGACAGAGAGCGAGTTCATTAGAAGATGAGTGGCTGGTACACAACCTACTTCCAGTCAGTCGGATGCTACCTTCTAGTCACTCGTTATTCTCACGCACTTCAACTAGTTACCTAATGTCACTAAATGTTCTTATAGAACAAACCGGCACAGATTGTAAATTGGGGGTTCCGCGTGGGACCTCAAAGCCTTGGCGCCCTTGGAGCGGGAACTGATCGCCTCTCGGTCAGAGTAAGTACTTGTGTAGACCAGCTTGCCTTGTCAGTAACATGAGTGTCACAACAAGTCTCGGGGGCCACTTGCATTAAAATCTGGTCTCTGGTTTGGTTGTTACACCCGAGAGTCGCAGCATGGAGCTCGCACCGGCCAGAGGCTACTCTCCGTCCATAGCCGTCTCATAAATCAGGTAATGAACGGGACTGCTTTTTGTTTACTCCTGGTGCTCTAGCCTCCTCCGACATGTGCGGGCCACTGCGCATGAGCTAGACATAACTTCACATGGTAACACGGAGGAGCTAAGCCGTGGCCGGGTGAGCGAGTTGTACTAGACAGATCGAACCTACACGGAAAGTGTCGTTTGCTGAGAACGTGGTACTGCACAGTAGTTTGTAATCAAATCACCTGCCTCGTACCATAGCCTCCACAGTTGCGCAGCCCTGCGCATTTGCTGTCCAACCATTCACTATCTCTTCATCTGACTTCGGGAAGAGAGCGCATCGTTCCGCTACCTAATGTAGGCTAGGAGCTGAGCCCGATTCGCCACTGCGCTGAGACTTCCACTGTCCACACAATTCACACTCATGATACTACCAGTTGCTCAGAACTATAGACATTTTACTGTGGGTAATGTAAGCATCCGTAATAGGAATAGCACACCTGGCTTGTCGAAATTGTAATTTCTTGCACTCGCTCGTATGGTCGCAGGCTTCAATCTATATCCGTAACCCATGCAGAATGAGGCTATACAGTTACAAAACCGGTCATCCAATCAGAACCGTCTGCGAAGTCATTAAAGAGAATCAACATGGAGAGATATACTAGTCTACATTACTAAATGTGTGATGAAATGTTTCTATCACCTTATATGATTACGCCATAATATAGAACCATTCCTAGAAGAAAATTTGGATCCCATATGGTCACACTATATGCTAATAGCGATAATTAGCAACCACGCACACCAACATTGAAAAACGTCCATTTATACTGTCCTGTTATTTGTCATTTTGATGTGTTACGTAACAATAGACCAGTACATTCACCAGCGCATTGTTGAATAGGTGAAGTTCAAAATGTATTTGTGTATGGCGTCTTCGCTAGCCAGTGCTATCCCAAGAAGATGTACACACACTCAGGTCACAACACGACAATTGGAACAATGGTTAATGGCCGAACTGATAATCACGTGAATCCCTGAATGTATCATTCTGAACTTGAAACATTCATGATTTAAAAATGAATCTATACCATGATGAAGGAGAGGGGGTCCATTGAATCTGAGTAGGAGAGGGGTCATGGAATCTGGAGTAGCGAGAGTCATTGAATCTGGAATAGGAGAGTGCATTGAATGCTGAGTAGGAGAGAGGGGTCCATTGAGAATCTGGAGTAGGAGAGGGGGTCATTGAATCTGGAATAGGAGATGGGGTGTCAATGAATCTGGGGTAGGATAGAACTCAATGAATCTGGGTAGGAGATGGGGTCATCAAATATGCGGTGAGAGGTGCCATTAGGCTGAGATGATATACACCATGTAGGTATCGAAGACGGTAGCAGTCAACACTGGATCTGAACAGTTATAGAAACAATATTCATCATAGCCAATGGTAACCTGCTCTGGGAAAAGGCATACGTTAACGGACACTCGCAAACTCCCTTCATTTCCTGACACAAAGGATCTATTTTCCCATGTCCTAAACCCCATGCTATATACACCATTTTTGGCAGTGACGTGAATGTGAGCAGTTCCATTTTTCACGCTTTATAATTATCAATATTATATAATATATACCGAGAACATTACGGTGTGCGATTAGCTTTATATTATTTACTATACACTCCACATAATATTATCCACATTAGCGTATAACTTAAATTTTCTCTACTAATACCGAAAGCACATGTTATCACTGAAGGTTAATTTGCCTATCACAAGGTGGAATTGAGGGATATGTGTGCCATAATTGAGAAACTCATGTTGAATGAAAACTTACATAAATACACTCTTGCACCATTGGCACTTGAGTTAATTCCTCTCTCAGTGACATTAGCCCTATGGACTGTCACATGTACTTTTACACAAACAGCAGAAAGTAACAGCAATCACGCCTCAATAAGTATTAATACATTATACATGCAAAATGACTTATTAGCCGTGTAATATGTATACATATAACTATTTTTACCAATGCTAACATGGACTGTCCAATCTCATTGTATTGAGGTGTTGTAGTACCATTGACCAGGTAGGTCACGGCATCACCCTCTGTAGCATGTCAACTTACAGATTCTTGCCTCCAGACTGTAGAGTGATGAACCAACACACACTCTGTGATTATACGACGAGTATTCCGTATGTGCGAACACGTTACTCCGGATCCTTGGAGTATCGAGGCTGAGTATCGCTTCACGACAGCTGCCCTAGAGTATGACACGAAAAACACGCCTCCTCAAAATAAATTCGTAACCTTCACCACAACATTGGACATTGCAGTGGAAAGCTACTGTGCAACATTAATACTTCAAACATTAACTATGAGTAGTGACAAAGAGGTATATGTATACCATGCATAAATGATGAATGATGCTCGAGAGTTTAAAACATACCTCATCACAAAAGGATCCTCTCTTATGTGTTGATGGTATGCAACTGTGCCATGATGCCATGACACTATGACAGAAGGTGTACTGATAGAATCTCTGCACGAATCACAATCTTTCTCATTAGGTTCAACATAAGAGGGGAGGAGTAATCTCAGCAACCACTGGAGGTTCATTGAGGCACCTGTAGAAGGAGTACATAGTTGCTTTGGTTATATATACCTAGGCCCCAGACAATAGTAATACCAACTAAACCCCTTGTTGCAATTATCGGACGAAGCTCACATCCCTGCAGTTATCAGTCTCAACGATACATGTAAGTAGGCTCTTTGAAACCCAGTTGATGTTCTGAGTCAAGGCAGGCTGGTTTCTGAAAATCCACACTCTGTTGCCTATGAAGACACATGGTCATTGTTGACAACGAATAAGGAATAAGTATGTCTCACAGTTTGGCAGAGTCAGGGAGGTCTCCCAGATTCAAGTTCTGAGCATCACATTGCTCTGAAAAACTGGAGTGTTTGTTATCATCAGAGATAAACACGTCTCAATGGTCCTGTTTTACGTCGGCTATCCTCACACACCAAGTCACGTCCTCTTGCCCAAAATTCGTGCAGATGACTGACACCTTACCGTCGCAATAGCTGTGGAAACAGCGAAGCAAACCGCGAAAGTGTCTGTAGCTTCCAATTGAAAAGCTCTAACTGGACAACAAGCTCAGAGGCAGCTACAGTACACTAACCTTCGCTGAAGACGCGTGATTTGATCTTGTTTCATTCCTAAACTGCACTCCTTCCTCGCTGGGAATGGGACAGACTGCTGCAATACATTTCCAGAGGACTGGGAGTGCAGTCTACCGCTGGATCTAGGGTAGGAGTGGGAGCCAAACTTACTTCCCTTCCATTTTCTTGACCACAAACAACAACTGTACATAGCCATATCACAAATGTATGGGAATTTAGGAAAACCTATATATGTCCCCCTATACACTACATAATTCTAATGCAACACATTTTTGACGAGCAAGTCATACACAAGCGGCTTAAAGTCGGGTACAGAATGCCTTCCATTCAGACGACTAAGTTAGGCTGGGTTCACAATCTGTCGCATTGCCCTGCCACGCCGTGCTACATCGCCGGGCCGTGAGGATAGATATCCGCAACAGGGCAATGTGAACCTAGAGCCTTAGGGTCACTTTGCTTGCCACATCCTGCAACTTGTTCACATGAACAGTAAGAGTGGGTGGGGAAGAATACATCATAGTCCTATGTTCTACTACATCACTGTACACAACTTGGGAGCCCGTAGCTTGCTATTGCACATAGATTTCCTGAGCAAGGAGGCAAAATTCATTGAGGAAACACCCGTAAAGTAATTACATTCAACAGTGCTATTTTACCTACGATGGTAACATGACTGTGTTCAGTCTCAGGCTCATTGTATGTGAGGGTATGTTACATTGACCAGTAGGTCCCGCATCACTCTCTGTAGCATTGTCAACTATCAGATATGTCTCCAGACTGTAGAGTGATGAACCAGCACACTCTGTGCTCATTGCACGAGCTCAGATATGTGCGAACACGGTTGACCCTTAGAATATCACTTCGAGGATCGTTATCTCTCACAACAGCTGTCCTATTAGGGCAACGAACACAAACTTGCATCACAAAAGACTATAAACCCGTGCCACCGCACACTCACCACATGTAATTAATTATGTTGTGTTGGAGCTACTGTGGAATATGTACACAAGCTGTAAAGGATCGCGAGAGAGTTTTGCTCACATTATTTTGACAATCGACATAGAGAGCTTTCAAGTTCGTACACACAGTCATTTCCCATACAACCAGTGAACATGAGTTTGAGAGATAAGATGATTATAAATATATAGCACAAGTACTCTGGGATATTTTTATAGTCAACTCTTATCTTCAACAGCACAGAAGAGCACAAGACAAGGAACACTAAAGAACATCTCCATGCAGTGCAGTAGAGAAAGTGATGCAAGTGCAAAGAAAGCATGTGCAAAGGCAGTGGCGATATTCTAATTCCCATTTTATTATCAATCCATGTTGCCAGAAAGAGAACAGGGTAGTGGAATCCCTTGTGTAAGTACTGGAAGAGCATGCAGCTATTGGTTCGGTCATATGTACCTCATTACAAAAGGGATCCTCTCTGATGTGCTGATGGTATGAAACTGTGCCATGATGCCATGACACTGCGACTACAGATACGCCAGATATTATCTCAGCACGAATTACAATCCGTTCATTGGATTCAACCATTAGAGGGGATGAAGTAGTCTCGGTAACCACTGCTGGTTGATTAGGAATTGAAAATGCTGTAAAAAGAGAAATGATATTAATGTACTCAGACTAGCATAGTAATATCACACTAACGAGGTCCAGTTAGTTGGGTGAAGCTCACATCCCTGCAGTAGTCTGTCTCAACGATACATGTGAGGTAGACATCTTTGAATATCCAGCTTGGTTTGGTAATTTCCAGACAACCAGAACTTGATCCACACTCGGATGTCTATAGGCTATTATGGTTATTGTGCAGAAGAATATAAAGTATGTCTCACAGTCGGCAGAGTCAAGGAGGTCTCCAGATTCAAGTTCTGAGCATCACATGCGCTCTGAAAAGCTGGAGTGTTATTATCATCCAGAGATACACAAGTCTCAATGGTCTGTTACGTCGCTATCCTTACACACCAAGTCACGTCCTCCCGACCAAAATTCGTGCAAGACGACCGGCAATCCACCCGCCGTGAAACGTGTGGTCTATATTCTATCAGCCCCCAAAGGAAGAAATCAAATATACCTGCAACAGTGATACAAATTGCAGATCTGCCATAAAATCAGCACACTGGGTTAGGCTAACTGTCAGATCTGTCTAATACGGCCGTGATCGGCTCTTGTTCTGCTCCTAAACAATGCGGCTGCTCGGAAGAGGGGTCAAAGGCACGAACTGCTTCAGTGACATCGATCCAAAAATCTCAGGACTAGCAGGACACGCTGCGAGAGTCCTTCTACAGCTACTAGTAGCAACAACCACAATGACCGTAAAACTGCCTGTGGGAAGGCCATACTATGCTTTTGCATCATGGACTTGATCGTAGACAGCTCTGTCCCCAGGCGGCAGTCGCGTTTTATATTGTGCACGGAAAACAGCGAAGTCGTTCCAGTAATCAGTGTCAAAAATCGTACGCGCGCGCGGTCGATGAGGTCGGTCTACTTTACTGAGAGGTCGGTCCGCTTTACTATTAGAATTTAGAGGTCGGTCTACTTTACTAGTAGCGGTCGCTCAACTTCACGAAGAGGTCGGTCTATTTCACTTGAAGGTCGATCCGCTTTACTAGGAGGTCGGCCCACATTTTACTAGGAGGGCCGCCAATATGGGAGCAGCGGTGGTGGCAGGCACCGGGCCACTACACTTTCCGTCAGTCCTCGACCTCTACGCTCATCCGCTGCAAGTTTTTTCTTGCGGGGGGGGGGGGGCCCGCCCGTCACTCTAGTAAAGTGGACCGACCTAGTAAAGTAGACCGACACCTCATCGACCGCGCGTGCGCATCCGTCAGTACGTGAAGCGCAAATCTGCGCTATTTTCGCGCATGCGTAGGGATTTTTTGAGAGGTGGGGATATTTAGCTGATCTGAGCGGCTGTTGGGGGCAATATCAGTCACATTATGTCAAGACCGGGCTATAGTTACACTCTCTCGGAGCACTATGGCAGAATTGCAGGTCATCAGCATAAGGTAATCCTGCATTCCTTCAGATCCACGGCGCTGCTGTAGGTAGCCCCGTTTCGAATATCGAAAACGGGCAACCAATGAAAGCACAGCCACCTTGGATCCTAAGGAATTACAGGCTGCTCAGTCTGGGCTAGGGCTAGGCTGTTCGCGTTCTCACTTGCTGCTGCCCCGATGGAACCACGTGTGCGAGTCTGTTTGCGCATGCGTGGCATTTGCGCAGGGCTGAGACCCGAGACAACGACATTTGCCCTCTCCCCTTTCCCTGACTCCCATAAAACACCCATTCAGTGTACTGGCCCTTCACCGCTCAGTCGTTGCACAGTGCACAATAATTATCGTTTCCGTTAACGGATGCAGTACAAAAGAATTTGCCGAGGATAATTTCGGCTGAAGGGTAAACGTGTAAGTGTTCTCCGTCATGTGTTAAATGTATGTATTTTTCTACACCGTCTAGCCACTGCAAGACCTTGTGCGACACCACATTGAGTCCTTTGATTTCATGTTGGAGAAGGGCATCAGCTATGCTGTCCAGGTATTGGACGTGTAGTATATATACAGCTGGTGTATAGTGCCCTTAGTGATGGTGGTAGAGAGCCCAACAGCTACCGCCCACCAGGAAATATGTGCATGGCTATATATTTGCTTCCTTGTGTTCATATTGGTTGTGTGTTTATACAGGACCTGCCGACTATGGAGATGCTTGATCCTCTGACAGGAAAATCAGTTTTTTCATTGAAGTGCGTATGTTTGAACACACTCTATTATTATAATTATCAAGACACGTTTATTCAATTAGGAACGTGCAGCTAGGATAGGACTTCTGTACTAGTTACTCCCTATCTTTGTAATTTGCTACTATTGGCAGGCGAAGCAAGCCTATCAATAGCGTGATGATTTTTCCAAAGGCCAACGTACACGATGCAACTTTGTTGTTGTGTGTGACAAAAGTCTCGTGTTATATACTTCATTGTGTGGGATGCAACATTGTTATTTGAGCTCCAATATACATACCAACTCTTTGTGCGCAGCAGTCTCTTACCTAATTTCAGGAATGAAAAGCACCAAAGTGCGACCCCTTAGCACACTATGCGATGCACAATAATACTCGTACATTTTACATTTTAATGACAGGATGCGTCTATAGGTCACCCCACTATTCCAGAGACCAACGTCTACTCGCGGTCAGTCAAGATATTCCCCGCAGAGTGTCGCGAGAGGTCCGCTACCTACAAGGCCAAACTGTCGCTCACTCTCAGCTGGAAGGTCGACGGAAGAAATGCCGGCTCACTAGACAAAGTCGTGGGACATGTCCCTATCATGGTCAAGGTAATGGTCTTTTTACATCTCTTACACTAGTGAGCGTTCTGTATGATTTTTAAGACAACTTAGAATTCAGGATATTGACAATAAATGTTGTGTGTATGTATTACCACGATTACAGGTAAAACTGTAAAGAGTAGCCCCATAAAGTTACCTAGTATCATAAAAAATGTTGAAAGGCAACATCAGCTTCTCTAATGCATCTTTCATGCTGTGACTTGGTGACCCAGGCCTTCCTTTGAGTCTTTTGGTCATTATTTACCTTGTAGGTGGGAATTGGTTTCTGTGTACTGTAAGTCTGTTTCCTGCCTCCCACATGTCTAGCCACTTCCTGCTTCCCACACATTGTCTAGAGCCGTCACTGCAGACTGGCCAACCTGACACCAGAAGAACTTGTCCGACACCATGAGGAAGCAGAGGTGGGCTTCTTGTACCATTGTCATGTACATCACGTATACTTGAAATAGACCAGTGTGTAGTAACGTTGTGCAGTAAGAATTTTTGCTTTTTTATGGCTTCTACTGTGTATCCACTGTTGTTTTGTTGATACTGACATTTTGATAGTATTCGGTATATAAGGGCCAAATTGAGTAACCCTTGCTAAAAATGGTTTCATTCACTGTCTGCCATATTGCAATAGTTCATTTTAGCCAGTGGTTTTGTATACAATTACGTATGATCGACCCTTAGGAAATGGGAGGATATTTCGTTATCAACGGGAACGAGAGGCTGATTAGGATGCTGATAATGCCAAGAAGAAATTACGTGAGTCGAATTAACTAAAGTATGGTCACAAAGTATATACATAGGCCGAGAGGGAAAGAGGAACTTCTGCCACGAATGGGGGGTTTCTCCTGTATCTGGCCCTCACCGTCACACATATACCATTATGTGGCCATTTTAGAATAGTGTAATTGATGTGTACTCTGTACTCTATCATCTCCCCCATCTGCCAGCCGATTGCCATATCTCGACCGTCGTGGAGGAACAGGGGAGCTCTCTACACCGAGTATGGCGTCCAGATACGATGTGTGAGGAGAGACCAGAGCAGCTCTGTGGGTAACCTCCCTCCCTCTCCTTCCTCTCATCTCTACTCCTCCCTTCTTCCTTCTTTTACTCTCCTCCCCTTACTCTTTCCCTTGAGCCATCCGTCATTCTACCCAACCCTCTCTACTCTCACTTCCTCCATCCGTCACTTTATTCTCACCCCTCTTCCCTTCTCTGTTACACTCCCTTGACACCCTAACTCCCTCCTTCACTCAATTGTCAAACACTTGAGTGCTATACAAACCATACTACTACTATGCAGAAACATGGTTCACCTTTGTCCTGTAACTCTATTTCCATAATTATGAATGAGTGTGTGATACACTGGCAAAGGCTGATGACGATAGAGGAGACGGGCTGGACAGAGTGCTCTGTGAAGACTGTCTCTTTCTTTCTGAGGCTCAGCATACTAACTAATTCGGCATGCAAACATAGTATGAAATTTTTTATCTTTAACTGGCCACGTACGTACATGAGAAACTCCAGGTATACACACATGACTGGGAACCGACTGCTGTCGGGAGTCAAACTCTGGCGTCGTGACTGGATGTCCTACTAAAAAAACTCCATACATAAGCTGGTCTTCCTTGTACCGCATGGGTTTTGTCTCCTCATAAAAGCAAAAAATCAGCCTATATTGTTTTTTAGACTAGTCGATGTTTTTTGTTCTTTCTTTGTTCAGACTCTGACCCTGCACTATCTAACCGATGGAAGTATCGTGACTCAGTTCTCCAAGAACAAGGAGATGTTTTTTGTCCCTCTGGTCTACATCTTGAAGGTGGGTTTACTGCCGTTTTGTCCTTGTTGCAAGAAAAGGTTAATGAAGTGTTGTGAAGCACCTACGTGGAGTTTTAGTGTAAAAAAGGCATAAACGATACTCATAACTCATGTGGTGAAGCCTTCCAATTTCCTCTGCACGATCACATGATGTATGTAAACGTTTCCACCCTGTAGCCAAGTAAAATGTTATACGTAATTGGCAAAGCATACGTATTTGCATGCACAGTGCACAGTGCACAGTGCGTGTGCATGGACGTGAGAAGGTTGTAATTGTACTAGTGTCTCTATTTGGCTCCAGGCTCTGCTGTCAACTACTGACCAACACATCTTCAAGGAACTGATGAAGAACAACACAAACAACACTTTCTTGAAAGGGTATGCGTCATTAATTGCAACAGTAAGTATTAGGTAGTAGGTGCATGACATTGAAAACAATACTTGGATATATATGTATCCTTTCCCTTAATTACAGCAGTATTAGCATATTTTATGTCCTGTGATTTTACCTTACGTTCTGTGGAGTAGAGTATTGTAGAGTATTGTCACTGATTTTGGTTAATGATGATTAAAGAGACGGGCGGACTGAGTCAGTCATGTCGATGACGATCGTCTCTGTGAACTGAAACATACACAACTATAGAACATTTACTATGAAGTGAGGGTGTATGTACTTGTTGTATGCCATATTAACGGTATTGTGTTGTAGATTTTATCCCTGCCTGCTGGGGTGGGTGGAGTGCTCTTCGTCAATGGCAAGAAAGTAGTAGTTTGAATGAAACAGTTATTTGTCTGTTTGCCGTTGCCTTGCCTTGCTTTTGCCCTGATATATACCTCATTGCTGTTACATACAGCACTACTCTTGCTCTGTGTATTATACTATGGCCAGTACTGACTTGTTGCTGGCTGTGTCAGATGTGTGACTGCCCAACTTCGGACGGCCATGGAAGATGGTCTGCTGAACCAGAAGACTGCCCTGGAGTTCATAGGTCAAAGGTTCAGACTCAAGGCCGAGCTGCCCGACTGGGTCCCTGATGACATCATCACTAAACAACTCCTCAAGTAACCATGGTTTCTGTATACAAATTGTACACTATATAGAATGGTTTTCGAGCAGACGTGAGCAGTTCAATTTTTCGTCTATTACTGCAGTACGTACTCTTCTGTGACAGACAGAGCGAATGCAATGCATTTTGCAAGTGAAATGGCTTTGTGTGCAAATAACGTTCTCCAAAGAGCTGCATGTGTAATTACTATAATCTGCACACTTTGTGGGCTTTTCTTAGAGGTTTAGTTGGACTTGAAGTGACACGCGTACACAGCAATGCACCACACAGGGGCCCGGGCATGCGCAGTAGCAATCTTGACCACGTGCATGCTGCAAAAGCGTCATTCGTGAGCAGAGAGAAGTGAGGTGGCAGATCTTCTGCAACCCACCATCCCACCTCTGTGCATAGTTTAGGCAGGCCCTGATTCCGTTGGCTGGATTCAGTCCTTACCTAGGGGGCCTTCATCAAGACCCCCCAAAACAGGCAGATTGTCGCCCAAGAGAAACACTGCATTACTCTGACACCACCAGAATAGTTTACCTTACCAAAAGTAAATTAGCAGGTGATATGTGAAGTTTTCTCTAATATTCTAATTTGTCTTAGGGAATTGGTGTTAGTTCACTTGGACCGGAACGTCGACAAGTTCAACCTACTGATGTATGTCCCCTTAATTGCCCCTTTCTATAGCAGGGGCACCCCCAATACTAACTACTCTGTGTGTGTGTGTGTGTGTCCTCAGATTCATGGCGAGGAAACTGTATGCCTTTGCCGGTGGGGAGTGCATGGGAGAGTCACCTGACTCCCCCATGCACCAGGAGATCCTGCTGGGAGGCCATTTCTACCTCATGGTCCTCAAGGTATGCTCTGGCAGGAGCATTGTCTTTCACTGTATGCCTTTTTAATAAGCTGCTGTACACACTCTATATATAAGGCAGAATTCTGTCCATTTGCGTTGCGTGTGTGCGGCAGTCAGCACTAGCCCTCCAGTCTGCTTTTTGCGTGCAGTAGGTTGTTTATAGCGATTACCAATCCCCAATGTTGCCCTCCCATGTAGCTAGTTTTGCTTGTAGCCTATGTACAGCACATACACCTCTTCAAACAGGTTGGAAGTTTGTATATAGTACTTTGTAAAAAGTTTGTAGTTCTACTTTGTGTAGTGATGTTGTTAATCATACAAGTTTGTTGGACAAATGAGTGTTTGTTTTTCTCAGGAAAAAATGCTGGAGTTCCTGAGAAATATCAAAATGGAGCTGGAGAGACTGGCAAAGCAGTCGGCTGACCTGTTTGACTCCACACTAGGTCAGCCTGGTCTCCCTGACATTGGCAGTGGGGGGAGAGGGGAGGTAGAGGGAGAGATTCACTATTCACAGTATCTGTGTGAATATCGAGTCCGAAGGTCTTGCCTTCCTCCACCGTGATCACGCTGTCCTTGCCGGCGCTCTCAAACACCTCGGCGATAGTGGTGACGATCTCTCTATGGTAGTATACATTAGGTATAATGCAGTATTGAACCTCAAGTATTGGGTGTGGTCTGATGGATAAGCACCCACACACTTGATCCTGAGGTCAGCGGTTCGATCCCAGTCTGTGGCGTTTTTAATTATAATTAGTGTTGATATAAGATGAATGTTTTTTCGCCACCTCTCGTGGCCAGCCCAAGTGGCAAAGTGGTTAGAGACCTGGGGACTGTCACATAAGGTGCCCGGTTCGAATCCCGGACCCGCACTGAAACTGACAGGTGGTCCAGAGCATTGGCTGGGAACAGCTCTGGTTCCTCCCCTTACCCACGAATCTACCACTGGCCCACTCTTTCTCAAAGGGCAGCGTGTAGTTCGGCATAGCACTGCGTCCGTAGACGTCTGTCTGGAGAGATGGGGGGGGGGGGGGCTGGCCCAAATATATTTTTTCAACCTTAAAATTTAAATTTGTTGCCTAAAACAATCCATGGATGCGTGAAAAGGGTTCACAACGTTCCGTTTTATTTTTTTAGTGCATGGCTCCATTAATGAGTGGAAAAGGTGCATGACATTCTGCCAAAGTTTTTAATGTACAGGCCAGTACTGTTTTTAGGCATGTGTAAGACTCCTCTCAACATAACTCTTTCAGATTACCATACATACAATTCCCTTATGCCATTACCATATTTAATGTGTACATAAGAGAGTATGTTTATTGACTCTCACCTACCAATCTTCTTTGCCTCGCTTGCTAATAATGTCAGAGAGTGAGTAAATCGACAATGCATAGCCCAGCCCATCAGTTGGTACCAACCATGCATGTGTATAGGTTTACTGTTGGTTGCGATAATATTGTACTTATTTATTCAATAGTGTCATTGATGCCAAAAGTCATGAGGAAGACAGTGGACATTGGACACGAGATGGAGTACATGTTAGCCACTGGAAACCTCCGATCTCGTAGTGGCCTTGGTCTACAACAGGTAGAGTACAGCAGTGCACAGTCATACGTATGTAATGCCAACATTATTACTTACATAATACTCTTTTCCATGAAAATTGCCTTTTAAAACCCTTTGGGCGCCATAGGTGTCTTCATTAATCCTGGCGCGCATGCGCATGCAGCGAGGGTTACGGTACTTGGGTCTGTCTGTCTGTCTGTCTGTCTGTCCTTCTGTGTGTCTGTTACTCGACATCTCACTTCTCAGATGTTTTTTCGTCTCACAAACCATACTACCTACTCAACGGGCAACGAAGGTCAGAAAATTTGTGGGGTGTTCTCTGAAAATGCTCCGTTGCAAAGCTAGAGAGCGAAACCAATATGCAAATACACAATGGCTTACTACGGCTTGATCGATCCGCGTGCTCCGCGTACCTCGGAGGCACCAGAAGATGCAACGCAGGGCGTATATCGCCTCTCGCATGCTATCTAGTAGTGTAGTTAGCCCGCGTCAGACTCTGCGCGAGCTGGCAAGAGACCACGGGTTACAGCTAAAACTAAACCCAGCCCATCAATTAGTGGTACGGCGCATGCGTTTACTTACGCGTGCGCGTCACAGTGCGCCGAGGGTTTGCACTTCAGTGCTTTTCATTAAATAAGCAGAAATTGATCTACGGTCAAAATACTATCGAGTTGCAATTATTGACACACCACAAAAATTCCCATACAAGTGTCAAGATCAGGTAAGCAAATGTTATCAAGTGTGCTACAAGTCACACAAACATGCAGTTGACACAATGGACAGCAATTGTATAGATATGTGCTTGTACTATATATGTACTGCACTTACACCGCTGTGCAAACATGTACAAATGTACTTCAATTCACGTGTATTATCATTACATACGTACGTACATGTGTACGTTGCGTATGTAATTATGAAAGAGCACATCTGTATGTACCTGCCCAGCTTAATCCATCATCTTACATGTAAGATGCACAACAGTTGTGTTTCTTACATGCTTGATGAGGTGCAAAAAATGCAGCACAGAAGTGTGAACAAAACCTACTCCATATGTAAGTGTACATACATGTGTATGTACTCATCCATATGCACATCTGTACCTGCACTGCTTAATCCACATGTAAGATGCACAACAGCTGTACATCTTACATGCTTGATGAGGTGCAAAAAATGCAGCACAGAAGTGTGAACAAAATCTACTCCATTTGGTAGTTCACTTGCACTGCACTTACAAAACTGGTAACCAAAAAATTAGTCACCTTGGCATAAACATGCAGCTGTCAAGAAAGATAGGGTAATCATCAAGTAGGTTGATAAATTTTTCACCTCTGGCATGAGGCTTATAAAAGGCAAAGCTGACTGGCAGTAGAGCAAAAGCAGAGGAGAGAGCAACGATCAAGCAAAGAAGAGGAAAGAGACAACCAGCAAGCCAGCAAGGAGATAGACGACCAGCAAGGAGAGAGACGACCAGCAAGGAGAGAGACGACCAGCAAGGAGAGAGACGACCAGCAAGGAGATAGACGACCAGCAAGGAGAGAGACGACCAGCAAGGAGATAGACGACCAGCAAGGAGATAGACGACCAGCAAGGAGAGAGACGACCAGCAAGGAGAGAGACCACCAGCAAGGAGAGAGACCACCAGCAAGGAGAGAGACAACCAGCAAGGAGAGAGAGAGACGAGGACCGGCAAGGAAGAAAATGGAAGATGACTACATTAGCGTCAGATTTGAGGATAATCATTCAAAGAGGTGGGATGGGAAGGAGGTGGAGGTTCCAGGGAAGACGGTGGTCAGGTTGGGGGAGTGGACGGCGGAGGGGTTGGAGCGGGGACAAGTCCACTGGCCGGGGAAGGGGGGGAAATCCCGAGGGAAAATTTGGAAATGTGTGGTGCTAGCACCGGTAACATCTGACCCTGAGGCCGACGACGTGACAGTTCCGACGACATCGAGACCCTCCCGTGGAAAATATACGCTCGTTGAAGGGATGGAAACGATAATGCCAGGTACGTGTACTAATTATTATGTATAAAGTAATTAGGTACATATTTGCACTGTAGGTATGTACGTGTGTACAGTTCTTCCCAATCTTTTCCCCCAACTTTTTAGCAACCATATCTCAAATGAAGGATGAAATTAAAAAGATGGAGAATCGAGTGGGGGAGTTGGTTGCTTCAGCAGTGTCGTCAGCAGTGTCGTCAGCAATTAGGCCACTTGCAACCCAATTGAGGGCTGTGAGGATGCTGTGAAGACCATGATACCACCACCACAGCCCTCCCAGCCCCCTACGCTGCAACATTTTCCTCCGCCCCCCACCCCCTCACCCTATCCCTTCTCCCCAGTTCACTCATTCGATTCCCCCACTCCTGAGCTGCCAGACCCTTTTTCTGCCCAAGGGGGATACTTGTCCTGCCTCCCAGGACCCTCCTCAGGGCCTCCTCCCCAGACAGTTTTGCCTCCACCTCGTCCACCCCCACCCTCTCCCACTCACCAGAAACTTCGTCCATGCGAAGATGTATTGAGTGAACTAGAAAAGAATGTGTCTACGGGGAGGATGTGATGGCGCAAGGAAAACTAAGTGAGGAAGGCCTTCACCACATCCGGTACACCCTGCGGTAAGTATGCTTGTATCCATTAACAATGGCAAAGAATATACGTATGTATATTATTCTTTGCAGCCGTCATCTCCCCGACATGTCCGACATGGAGTTTAAGAACTTCTACTGGAAGCCATCCCTCTGTGCAATGCAGAGGGCTTGTGGACGAGCAAAGAAGAAAGGAAATGGCAGCCAGCAGAGAAGTGGACAGTGAACTTTTTAGCTACATAGACAGTGAACTTTTTATAGCTACGTACATACGCACCACGTATGTTAACATGCACTTCATTTATTACGTACTTATTACTTCACTGATTTGTGAGTCAACTTTTGCTTGCTTTGCATGTGCCAAACATCAATAGTGTAAAAAAATCATCAACACCACCAAGTGTGTAAGTGTACATACACAATATTCAGTATCCTGATGCCTCTCCCTGGCATTCAATCACTTTTGGGATAACTTTCTTTAAGTGTCCAATGTATTTCTGACACTTTTGTTTACTAACTTTTCCCCAAAATTTCTTAATTCCTTCCAAAAATCAGCTTTGTTTTTTGGCTTGATCTCTCTACGAATGTCACCTCACGTTCCATGCATCTTTTAAGCACCAACTGCAAAACAATTTTGTAGGCGGATTTTCAAGAGGTACCTAGGCTTATCATAACACATTTTTGGAGATTAGCGAGCCATCCATTAACATTAAAAAATGGAGCCTGGCAACACTGCAATTATGGCATACTATAGTCAGTGGTGAATAGAAAGGAGGTGGGAGCAAACCATGTGGCACGAGTAGCTTTTGGCCATGGATAAAGCATGCACACAGCATTGTCTTGGACAATGAATGCAGTTCATGCCAGAGATTCTCAATGGGATTAAGATCGGGAGACTCTGGTGGTGTCTTCCACCACTCAATCCCATTGTCAGCAAAGAATTCCCTGGCACATCTGGAGGTGTGTTTGGGGTCGTTGTCCTGCATGTTACCGTCAGGGTAGAGCCTTCGTGCAGACGGTATAAGTGCCGCTCTTAAAATTCGCACGTATAATTGTGCATCCATTATTCCATCAAGCATCACCAGATCTGTACGTCCATTCATACTAATACCAGCCCAAACGTGTATTTTCACAGGATGTTTTGGTCTGAATAATTATACATAAAATAAAATAATTAACACAGTTGTACAAATACATATGTAACGTTACATGTACGTACTATGTACATGTACATTCATACGTAAACGCTAGGTGACATACACGTACGTACTTTGGTTTTGGACGTGGCTTTTCTCCACACTTCCTGTAGCTAAAGCGACGGTGATTTTCTAGTTGGACTGTGGTCTCATCGGTCCATATCACATTGCTGCAGTCATTGTTCTGATTTTCCATGCACCAGGATAACCTTTTTAGCTTGTTTGGCTCTCTGATTAGCTGACAGTAAGCTGCTCCACGGTAAGTCCACCCGAGTTTTCGGTGACAACGCAAAATAGTGCTACGGGAAAGTTTGATGCCCTCTCTTTGTAGAATACAATCTAGCTCAGCAGCAGTAGTCTCATCATCTTTTTGCATTTGCTCTTCTATTACATCTTTCACTCTTTGTGTCACTTTACTGGGTCTCCCAGTTGAAGGCTTTCTGAGAACGCTTTCTCCTCTCTTCAGTTTTCGAATAAGAAGTGATGCAGACTTAGGAGAATATAGGTGAGCCCTTCTTTAGATAGTGCCTTACTGATGGCAGTACCTTTAAGCCCCTTTGCTGCATAGAAAACAGCTCGTTGTTTGGTGTAGAGAAACTTCTCCATTGCCGTGCAACGACTTTTATGTGTACGCATGTACGTACCTACTACATGTACAAGATCAGATAAGCTACGTATGTAAATAATTAGCACAATTGAGGTTCAGTTGTACTTGCATGTCAATACAAGATAAAGGTGCTGAATTTTTATAGCTTATTTTGTTTAATACAAGTGCTGTGCAAATGATGGTGCAAATGTCCCACAATTGCTATCAGGTCACACAGTACATTACAGAGCACTTGTACGCAATGGCAAAGAGCACAAAAACAATTGTTGTCAACTGAACCAGCATTTGTTTTGAACAACAATTGCGTTACCCACTTAACGACCCATACTGTA